GCTGATCACAGAGTTTTAACCACCTATTGTGCCTATGAAAATATTCTGGATGAAATGATGCGAGACAGAACAGTGTGTGGGATTTACGACTCTCGAATACAAAGGAGACCACTAAGTGAAGTATCTAATCTTTCTTTACAAAAAACATTAGATATTGTAATTACTATGGAAGCAGCAGCAAATCAAGCAGCAATAATTCAAAGCCATCAAAACGTTACCAGTCCAGTAGCAAACAAAAAAACTGAAATCAAGTTGGTAAGGCATTATGAACGTGAAAGTTTTCGTTGCGGAGGTAAACATAATCCAAAGTTATGTTTTTTCAAAGATCAGGAATGTTTTTTTTGCCACAACAAGGGGCACACAACAAAAAAATGTCGTAAAAAGAAAAGAGTGTCAAAAAATACAAGAACCCAACACAAAATAGAAGAAGTTAATGGAAATCAAAATAAAGAAGAGCTATATCGTATTTAAAACAAGTCGAATAAAAGGAAACCAATTATGATTAAAGTTGAAATCGAAGATATTAGTACAAAAATGGAGTTTGACACTGGAGCGTCGGTGTCAGTACTGAGCCTAGAAACATTTACAAGCTTGCAAAATAAGGGACTCACAAGGAAAGAAATTATTCCAACAAAATCTTTTTTGCGAACATTCACTGGGGAAGTAGTGTTACCAGTAGGTGAGAGGTACCAGTTGAGCTTTCTGTCAGAATCAATGGGCAGACTAATTTATTAGCTTTAATAATCAATCCAGGTAAAGGACCTTCATTGATTGGCAGAAATTGGCAGAAAAAATTTAAAATTAAATAAGAAAAAATATTTCATGCAGGCTCAGGATTCCCAAAAAGTCCCAATCCATCAATGATAAATATATTAGTTAAAAAGCATTCTGCAGTGTTCCATAATGTGCTGGGGCTATTTAAGGATACAGTGGTACACATACCTTTGCTGCCTAATGTAAAACCGAAGTTTTGCAGAGCACGAGCTATACCATATGCCTTATTGGAAAAAGTAAATGCAGAACTCGATCGGTTGATATCTTTGGGCATCTACAGACCGGTAAGTCATTCCCGTTGGGCAGCCCCAATAGTGTCAGTCCTAAAAAATGATGGCACTATTCGATTATGTGGAGACTATAAACAGACTGTAAATCAGGCAGCTATATGCGATAGTTATCCCATACCGAGGACAGAAGATTTATTTGCAACCTTGGCCGGTGGACAAAAATTCACTAAACTGGACTTAGCATTGACAAAAGTTCTTGTGAGTTCTTCACAAAAGTTCTTGCGAGTTATTGACAATAAACACCCATCGAGGTCTTTTTGAATCTACACGATTACAGCTTGGAGTACACTCAGCATCAGGAATTTTTCAACAAGAAATTGAGAAGCTGATTGGCAGTTTATCATTTACTAAAGTTCGAGTTGATGACATTCTAATGTCGGGACGGTCGGATGAGCAGCATTTAAAAAACGTTGCAACGGTTTTACATATACTGGAAAAAGCAGGACTAAAGTTGAAGGAAAACAAATGTGTATTCATGTTACCCGAAGTTGAAAATCTGGGTTTTAAGTTAACGAAAGATGAAGTAGTACCGCTTGAGGACAAACTTATTGCTATCAGGAATGCTCCTGAACCTAATTACACTACCCAGGTAAAATTGTTCCTTGGCATGATCAACTATTACCACAGACATTTACCAAACCTAGCAACGATTGTAGAACCACTCCATTGACTTCTGATAAAAGGCATTCATTGGTTGTGGGGCATGAAAGAACAGACAGCCTTTGACAGAGCCAAAGCGGAATTATGTTCACCTAAATCGTTGATGCATTATGATCCAAAAAAGGAGCTAATCTTGTCTTGCGACGCATCACCTTATGGAATCAGAGCAGTGCTGGCACATTTCACATCTGAGGGAAGTGAAAGACCGATTACTTACATATCTAGAACGCTATCCACAGCTGGACGAAATTATTCTCAAATTGAGAAAGAAGCATTATCTATTGTATTTTCCGTAAAGAAGCTGCATCAGTATTTATATGGGAGATATTTTACTCTAGTGACGGATCACAAGCCTTTGTTGGGTTTATTGGCTTAGGGAAAACCTATTCCAGCCATGACTACTGCAAGGATTCAGCCTTGTGCGTTAACCCTTTCTGCTTACAACTATTGTTTGAAATACCGTAGTAGTAGGGATGGCACTTTTACTTATTTTGATATAAAAACGCGAATTACTTTTAGTTCGCGTTTTCACATAACTTATATAAGAATATAACTTACTTACATTTAAAAGTAATTAGTTTTTTTTACGTAAATTATATAACGTGTAAAACTTAATTACTTAAGCAAAGTTTTTTAAATGAGTAACTGTTTATGAAAAAGTAACTTAATTTTACAAGTAAAAGTTATTTGCATTTTTACTTTTACTTGTAAAAGTAACTTACTTTTAATGGTAAGTCGTGTAAAGTAAAGTACTTTTAAAAGTAATTTTTGTTATAATTATGTAAAAAATTTACACCGAAATGTAATTTACTTTTTAAATGTAAAAAAAGTTATTTATGAATATAAGTAAACTTACGTAAATATAATACTTAAAAAACATAACACTTACTTTACCAAGTAAAATAAAACTACATCATATCAACAAATTACTTTTACGTGTAAATGTAACTAATTAGCATTAATTAGCTTACATAAAAGTAATTTGAAAAAAATTGTTATTTACTTTTACAAATAAAAGTAATTTTTTATTTGAAATTTTGTACTTTACTTTGTAAGTAAGTAAAATGTAAGTTACATTATTTACTTTCTTAAAGATTAGTCATTTAATGTTGATTTAACGTAAATTTTGAGATAGGTAGCGTATTCAAATCCATTTTCTGTTTGAGGGCACTTCAGGGTACTACTTCAGGTATGTGGCAAGTATGTGGTGGGGCATCAGGAAAAAATTTTTTTCACGTATATCAGAAACGGTAGATCTATTATAATTAGAGGCAAATATAGTCATGCAGGAATAGCAGTAGTGCAGTGACGGGAACCCTGCCGCATGAGTGCTAATAGAAGCTGGTAAATAACCATTGATTTTTTATTTCTTTTTTTTTTGTTAAGTAGAAATAGGTTAGTGGCCATAATGAAACTTTGTCGGGGGAGGAAGGGAGCATAATTTCTTAGCTATGGGTAATTCATGTATGTGTAAACCCTGACTAAGTCACTGTTCGTTAGAGCGCGCTTTTTCTCCAGTTTTTTTCTTTGTATTTGCCTTTTCAATCAAGTTTTTTGTTATGGTAATCTGACACAATATAATATTTTTAGTACCCGCAAGGACATCGACTGCTACAACAGTTTTCAAAAAATTATAAGTCATTTAAACTATAAGTTATAATTTATATGATTAAAGGAGTGTTTATCAAATATAATCTTTTATTGCGTTTTATCATATATAATGAAATTATATTGCGTTTTATCATATATAATGAAATTTCTGTTTGAAAAAAGATGGTAAGAAAAGCTGTTTAATGTTCTAATATAGGTTGTGGGCATCCTAATAACCTACTTTTTGTTGCGTTGGTGTCCAACCCGCACAAGGACAATAGGACAAATAAAATCTTATTCAATTAAAATAGCGCTTTAGAATAAACTTGTAATTTTTTTTTTCAAACTTTATTTTGACTTTACAAAATGTTTGTTGGCTATCAGTTGTCCCGGAATCTTGCGATTGATTTTTCACTACCTTCCGGACTAGCTAGAGCTCTGAAACTTCCAGCATATGTGTAAATTTAATAAAAGTAAATCTTAAAATAGTTTTCAGAGCCCACTGGAGAACTCCACTTTTTTGAATCTATTTTTTTTTTGTTATTATTTTACTTTATCTTTTAGACTTTACTTTGATCTTACTTTATCATGACAGCATTTGGGTAGTCCCAATGAAATTGCATGTTAAATTTGTTTCCTGCAAAGAGGGTTGTACCCTTTATTTTTTTCTCTAATATTTTGTTTTTCTCTAATAATTGAGGTCTTTAACTTTTTAGAAAGAATGATTTTTGCAAAAAACCTTTTTTTTTTTGGCATTTTTTTTTTTGATTTATTTGTTTTAGTATTTATTTTTTTTGTCAGGAGGAAATAAGTTAATGGCCCTAATAAAAATTTACCATAAAAGAGTCGTGCATATTTGTAGCTATGCTGCTGCTTTTTGCTTCTTTTAATCAGTGTGGTTGTTGTTAACGCTAATGCGCTAACTCAAATGCATATATAACAGCTTGGGGTGTGATACCCCATTCACCACCCTGGTCCTGGTCGTAACAACCACTCTAACAGAAATGAATTTTTTTTTTGTTTTTGTTTATTTATTAATATCTATTCATAAAACTGTTGTCTAGAATTAACTAATTTTAAATAGTCTATTCCAGACATTAATTATTCCTTTATTATTTTATTATCTAACAATTATTCTAGTTAGTCATTTCAAGAAATAACTTTGATTTTGGTTAGATTGGTTTTTAACAACAACCACGCTAAATAAAAGAAGCCAAAATGCAAAACTTAGAACAAAATGCAGAGCCATTTACAAAGCAAGAACAATAAACGAGACAGTCTTTTAAAGGAAATATTTAAATAACTGATGTAAATAACATTAAAAAAGTTAAAGTTAAAATAGTAAAAGTAACTTTAAAATTAACTTAAAAAAAATTTATACCTTTTTATAACTACAACAACCGCTTATTTTAATTTGTTTAATATAACGAATTTAGTAGGATGGTTCAAAAAAGCAAAATACTTTTTAAAATACTGGTTAAAATACTTTTCCTCATTTTCAGTTAAATACAAAGTTTTAAAGTAAAATTTCAATTCTTCTCTTTAAGTAGCATCGAATACCGCAAGTTTCTCGAGCTTAAGTTACTTCTTTCTTTGCGATGAATAAAGTTAGCAACACTAAATGAGGATTCTGGCTGTACCAAACTAGCAGCTGAAATACATACCTCTCTTGCTTTAGAAGCTAACATTGGAATATCGTTTTCATACTTGTACCAAAATTCATCGAATTTTCAAGTTTTTGCTTTTATAGTATAATTGAAAAAGGATAACTCCTCTTTTATATTTCGCTTTGACTGTGTTTTCTCTTCGCACAGATTAAAACCACACAATGTTGCAAGCTTAGCAAACCCATTTTTGCGTTTAACAGGAACTTCAGGTGAAACATGAAATTGAACATCATTACTTGAATCAATCATATCTAAAAATGAAAACAATTATTAATATTAGCTGAAATCTATTTTTTAACAACACTGAAAATGTAAAAAAAGTAAAATTTTTATATTAAATTAAAAAAAAAATATTTTTTAACAAACAAAAAGTTTAGGTTTATAACTAACCACTTCTCGAATAATTTTGTTCATTTTGCAAACAAATATTTGTATGCGTTGATCTTCGAGGATATTGTCGGAGTGCTGACTTTGCAAATTTTTTCATAAGTTTGCTTTCTGCTTCTTGATATTCTTTTTCTGTAAGACACTCGTTTGTTCTCGGATCAAAGAAACATGCTAGCAAACTTTGCAGCTTTTGTTTTGTAGACATCTTTTCAACAAAGTATACTTTCATGAACTTGAGAAGACTAGCTCGTAACATGTTCTCTCTTTCCACCGTAGGAGATGGTTGTAAAAGAAAACATTTAGCTGAAGATTCATTTTCAAGAAAGTTCATTAACGTATTTTGGACGAATTTTGCTGAAAAAAGTGTTGGAAAATTTTTAGTAGAGAGAAGTTTAGTTGCTTCAAAAAATGGAGCAAGGTTATAATGTAAAATGTCTAGGAACTTCCAGTCATCTGATATCAAAGCTAGTTTCTTGAGTTTATTAATCTGTTTTCCTGTTAACCCATCGATAGTGCCAGGATCTATGGTAGCTTTATTATAAACATATTTCGCTTTTATTATCTTACTAATCATCAAAAACGTTGAGTTCTAACGTACACGAAAATCTGACGAAAAGCTTTTTAATTTCAGTCCCTGTTTCTTAATCTCACTAAAAACAAATGATTGCAAAACAGAAGATTGTTTAACATTAGCTATCGTTTTTGTAAACCTGAATAATATGCTTGATGAATAAATGAATAACTGTTCAACATTTTCATTGGTTGACGCCTGCTCCTCCTCGCTATTTTCTTCATCATCTGAGCTAACGCCTTCTTTGTCATAAGTGCATGCAATTTCTTCTTGATCGTCAGATGAACTATTTCCATTTGATTCGATATCGCTTTCATTATAACTATTGTAATATATAAGATCTTCATCTACATCTGCTGTGCTATCTAATAAGTTATGTGATGGTTTAAGCCACAATTGATTCCATGGTTCAAAACAAGATTTAAATTATGACAAATGCATGAAAGTCGTAAAGCAATAGATCCCATCGCCTTTTTAATATCTTTAGCGTTGTCAGTTGTAGTTGAAATAATTTTAGATTCAATTTCAAGTTTATTGATTTCTTTTTGTACAAATGCTGTAAGTCTATTACTTAATTGCCTTCCATAAAACCTACGAAAACAAACTAATTTTGATTTGTATTTAAATTTTTTTGTTAAGTAATGCGCTGTAATGCAAAGCCAATACGATCCAACTTGATTTTTCCACAAATCTGTTGCTAGCACTATGTAGACAACTACTTTAAGCTTAGCTTTAAGATCGTTTGTGTATTGATAATACCGTTTTCTTAATTGATTAGCTATTGAGGCGGCTTGTAATGCGGAGCAAAAATGTTTAGAAGGAGTTGCATACCAGGTTTATAAAAATTGTTGAAAAGGCGGCTATCTTGAATAATACAATTTATTATGGCTTCATTTATTTCATCTCTGTTCTGCGTTTCGAGGAATTGATCTTGAGCAATTTTTTTTTTTGAGAATCGTTAAGGTACTCCGGTTTTTTATAAATATGAAATATATGTTTTCGCAGATTAAGTTCAGGCCCACATATAAGTTTTCTATTTTCTGGACACATCAAACAAATATATTTGTTAGCTTTTGAAACAAATGAAAAAAGTGACTTAATGGACAATGGCTTCATTTTACAAACTGATTTTATAATTTGATCATCGTCAGTATCAGAGTTCGAAACTATAATATAAAAATAAATTCGTTAAAATATATTTCACGTATCAACGCAAATTAAAGACCGATTTAATGACTGTATTAGAGTATTTTTATCGGTTATAATTTTATAATACTATTATTATTACGTTCTATTTTCATTAGCTAGACTTTTTCATATCTCATTATACAAAATATGTTTATGAATATACCTGAATATGTATTACTGCCGCCAGATTGACCTCTAGATTCTACAGTTTCTATGTTTCTTTTAGATAAAGAAAAACGTTTTTGAAGATGTATGTTGATAAACGCTTGAGTTCCAAATAATGATCTTTTAGATAATCTTCTGTCTTTATCTTTTTTTCCAGCCATATCTGTCAAAATAAAAATTAAGCAGTACTGGTGCTTTGATCTCGTTTATATTATTTACACAAATTCAATAATGAAATAAAAAGAGAAAAAATTAATTATAATTTTTGTGCTTTTTTAACAGTTCTGCTTGCAAAAAAAAGAATAACTCAATGCTGCTTTTTTTTCTTTTTTTTTTTTTTGGTTTCCTGTTTTATTTTTTTGTAACTAATAATGTAATTTATTGCTGGAAAATGATTCTCAATATCATACTTTTACTTGAAGTTATTAAGGGCGTTATTGTGTATTCCGCTGCCCAGTGGGCATTTCGACGTCGAGCGACGTCGGATCTCGACGTCGGATCGACGTTGGGTTTACGTTGGAAATGGAAATGTTATTTGACGTCGGATAAACTGACATCGCGCGACGTCGGCATTCTGATGTAAATCCAACGTGTTTTTTGAAAACTATAAAACGTTGCCTTTGGCAGGAAGCGAACCTCGGTCTATTAGATACTAAATCCTATGCGCTTACCACTACACCACAGGGACATATAAGTTAATGTGTTTATTTAGTAATGTATACTTGTAACTATTTGGGAATTATTACTTTGATAAGAAATAATTTTATTTAAATATAATGTAAATATTAAAACGAATAGTTATATATTATAAAAAATGTATACTCGAAAATGTTAATAGTTAAAAAACTATGCTAGTGCATTATACAAAACCTCATGATGTTTTATCAACTATTATTCAAACTTTTTTCCATTAATAAAAAAACACGCTTAGTTCACATAATTATTGAAGAGCGCAATTGCACACATATTGTTGGGTTTGGATTAAGTTCTCATCAGCGATGTCTTACAACGTTGTTCCGACGTCGTTTTAAGGACGTTGGATTTACGTCGGAAGACGTCAAAAGACATTGGAGTACATTAATATTATGACGTTGCCCGACGTCTTTTTGTCGACGTTGGATCGATGTCAGTACTGCGACGTTTTTCGAACGTCTTTTATAAGATGTCGGAACAACGTCAAAATACATCGAAACGACGTCAGGGGATGTTGAGATAAAGACATCGCCCGACGTCATTTTACTGACATCGGAACAACGTCGGAATAGGTCTTTTGACATCGCTGATGAAAATCGTACGTAAATCCGACGTCGGATTGACGTCGGGTGCCCACTGGGTGAGAGATTCTTGTATCTGTACAGGATATTTTATTTTTATGCTTTTAATTTAATGGTATGTCAGAACATAATTTCTGTTTCTGAGAAAATTAAATTTCCTTCCAAAAACAATATAGTTTAACACTTTAGATAAAGCCAAAATACTTTTTATGATTGTATCTAAATACTTATATACATAACTTCTTGTAACGCTCGTATTAATTAATTATTTATTTTAAAATAACTATTTTTGTCATGTTTCTGTTCTGCGTTATATTTCAGTAAACGTAATAAAGGTGTTCACTACCGTAATAAAACTAGTGTAATAAAAAAGCAGTTAAATGTACCGTCAGTTCTGTATTAACAGCAGGGCTCACCCAGCACCAGGTGCGCAATTTTGTTATCGGGCCTCTTATGTTCGGTTGCCCTAACGCATAAGGGGCCGCACAATAAAATCGAGGATATTTTTGTTTTATTATTTTTTTAGTCGGTTACCCAGTGCACAGCAGACCAGTAGGTGGACAAAATGGGAAAAACTTTAGTTGTCTTGTCTTAATCTTAAAAATTTATTTAATTTTAGTATCTACATATATTAGGAGAAATTTATTGATAATTTATTTTTATTAAATCCCTTTGTTACCATGACTCTAAGCATTTCAATAATGAAATTTAAAAAAAATTATAAATAAGTAATTTACGGTGACATCAACACTGTTATATTTCAATTACATCTACGAATAATTAGTGCATGTTATTCTAGAGTATTTAAAGATAAGAAAAATCAATGTGTGAAATAAATATGTCATAGCATGTTATTTCAGTTATACTTTGAAAATCACAAACTAAAAAAAAAAAACACTAAGAAATTTATTTTTTGCCGCACTATAACTAATAATTACTATGTGCTGCCTTATTTTTGTTGAAGCTATATGATGCTTTAATCAAGTTTGAGTTGATTATTCCCTTAAATTCATCCCCTTAAATTCCCGTTCAGATATCACATGTTTTAAATTGGTTGCCATGGTACTAAATATTGCATAGCAACTACTCATTTTTACATTAACATTGTTTTAACATTTTATTTGCGCTAAGTTCACAATATTGGAGGTATGTAGTAAAATGAGATTCAGAATTCTGAGGTTAATTTTTTTTTGGTTGCTATGACTACCTTAATTTGCATAGCATATAAACAACATATTTTAGGTAGTTGTTAGTAATTTAATAACTAACACTAACTGTAATTTAATTACTTTTAATTTTAATTACTAACACTTGCAGTTACTTAATTACTAACAAGAATTAGTAGTCCACGCAGCATATATATTGTAGCATTAGCCAAAATTTGCAAAATATAAATACGATGGTTTTAGACTCGCTGTTCAACGATTTGTTTACTTGTATAAAAAAAAAGTGGAAATCTGCAGACTATACTGTTGAAAATTTTTTTTTCTTCTAAACTATATCAACCAGGTACTCAAAAGAAGCAGAATAATATGCTGATTTTGAAAATATTGTTTGTTTTAATTAAAAAATAAAAAAATTTAAAAAATAGAGCTGTTTTTTTTTTTTATAAAAACAGCTCTATTTATTGCTTGAAATCCCAGCCTTCGACAAAACGGGTGTTTCAAGGTATATTTTCGCAAATATTTTTTTCACTAAAATTTTTTTTAATAAAATTGTTATTTACCAAACAAGCATTTTTTCCTGCCTTTTTTGAGTTCAAGGTTGATATGGTTTTAAAACAAAATTCAAAAATATTAGTACCCATCAAGAATCTATAATTCAAAGAGGAACCTTAAGATCTAATCAAAATCAAAAAATATTTTTTTACTCACATCTTATAAATAATTGGCATCGATTCGTGTCTCAGGAATATTGATTTTTTTGCTATGAAAATTGCTCCCCCTTTTTATAGAACTGTGACATACTTTAATTATCAATAATTTGTTACTTTATTTTAAAGCGTTTATCAATAAATTGCTCCTTTATTTTAAAGCGTTTCGCTAATATAAAAACATTAGTTAAAAGTTTTAACGTAACTTTCACTTAAGGTATAATTCAGATTTTTTTTCATTCAGCACGTTATTAAAATGTCAGTGAGTAAAATAAATAAA